AAGGGTTTGTATACAGTCCCACTCTTGCAGACTTTTGTATCAAAGCCTCACTGATTTATAAAGGATTTTTGTATGCAGAAATCATACAAAGGCTAATCTCAAATGGACACATAGATAAGATCAACAGGACCACTCACTTGTAGGCAGAAATGCAATCAGAAAAGAAAAAGTTTTTTTCTTCCTTTCTTTTTTACCGAACTATAAAATCAAACTACTGCATTATGAAAAAAAGGGGGCTCAAAGCACTGGTAAATGCTCCACAGAGGAATTACTAGGCAAGCAATAGAGGCTGGCAGTTTTCCAAAACACAAATTGTCTCTGGGACCAAAATATGTGTAAGTGAGCAGGGAACATATGTATAAGCAGTGGTGATTTTCCAGCAGATCTCATCTTGGCATAATAGAGATTTAAAAATGAAAGTCTGCACTGAGGCATTAAGCTTTGGCAAGCATGTAGCTGAAGAGAATAAAGGAAGAACATAAGGAAGTCTTCCTCAGAGATACTGTTTTCCCTCCTCTCCCACCCAGCTTCTTCCCTGCTTTCCTTCTCTGTGTGAGGAGAGTTTTGGTTCTTGCCTCTCATTCTTCATAATTGCACCCTACCAGTAAGAATTTCAAATAAATCATTATTTCCTGCTTTCTGTTGTAAGACAGGGTTTCTGGAAGAAGCGTGGTTTGGAGCATAGCACAAGAAGCCAGGAGGTCCACACTTCCCCTGCAGCTTGTTGGTAAGAGCTGGCTGCCCAGCTCGAGTCTCTGACTTGTAGGTACAAGGTGACAGGAGGGAACTGCAGCGTGGACTGTGCATGGCCTGYGTACTGAAGGGAAAGCAACCCGAAGCAATCAGTAGAAAATACTAAAGACAGTGTATTTCAAATGTAGGTCATTCAGTGCTTACTCACCTGCCCCTTTTGGAATTCCCTCTGCTGTCTTGGAAAAGACGCCTTTGGACTTTTATTTCTGCAGGTGGAGGAAGTCACTGCTCTGTTGTCGGGCCTGAGAGGACATGATGGTGCCTCACTCTTGCAGATGCAGCTGCTCAGTGTGGGGAAGGTCCAGGGTCCATTCCATGCTCCAAGAGAATATGAATCCACCAAACAGAAAAGTATAGTAATTCAGCTGGAAGCTCTGTGGGGATTCAAAAGGGGGTGTCTTCAGAACAAGAGCGGACTTAAGTCTCTCAAGTTGTTCCAAAGGTTCAACATTTCACTTCTCCTGGTTGAAGTACCCGAACTGTGCTGCATTTTAAACAGTTTCCTCCCTGCCAAGAGCCAAAGCAGTGGCAGAAACAACCTGGCGTAAATCTCTCCTTTCAGGGATCTGTGTGAGTAGGGAGACTCCCCTATCCTTGATTTCTCTCTGATGTCTTCCATGTTAAACCTCTTCCCTTCCCACAAGAAGTGCTGCRACGTCTAGTTTTCTTGACTAACAGTAAATACTTTCATCCTTGGACACAYGGAACTAATGGCAGGATTTGCTGTTTGTGGACGCAGTCTGGCTAGAGCAGATTCTGCTGCAYCTTCAACATGAGTCCAGATCATCTAGTGGCGTGGCACGTTTGAGTGGACACTGTGACACCACTTACCATAGCCAGGGCAATTCCATTTAAATGCTTTCACTTTTGCCAGTCTTTGTCAGCTTGTATTCCTCAAAGCGATTTGGACTGCAGAACGGCATGAGTACGTTTTGGCCTTTTAGCAAGGATTATGCAAGATTCACATGTCTGCCCGCCTCCGTCGCCGCCGCCTCCTCTCCTCACAATGTCATTTGGCCCCCATGGTCACCACGAGTCTAATTTCACGCTGAGCTGGAGTTCCCAGAGAGAACGGGGAGCGGGAGGGGAAGTGGGGGGGGAGGACAGGGCAGGTTGCCCATTTTTGTGGAAACAGGAGAGGAATAAGACCTCATAAACGCATGATTGCTGAAGCAAAGCTATGATGACGTGAGTTTGCACTGTATTAGATGATGATTGCTCCTGGAAAGAGAGCTTGCAAATGTCCCAGCTATTGTAAAGGGTACATTAAGAACACATCAGCAGCTCTGGACCAGATGTCTGTTGGAGATCAGGGCTGTTCATTCTACAGCCCACAGAAGCACTTGCTTGTGAAGAGGACTCCATAATTAGCATTGGAGGGCACCTTCTGCCCAGGCCACAGGAAAAGAAACTCTGGGATTGCCCTGCAGAAGCTGCTGCAGTCCATGGTTAAAACTATAACCGCTTGGTGACAAGGAGTGCATTTAAACTGCGTTGTACGCTCACCAAGCCCCTACTCATTCCTGCCCTAGAGTGCAATAAATTGGCCCTACCCCATCTATTATTTATTGTTCTGTATTAATGATAGATGTATATTACAATAGTACTTAGAAGCGCTTGTCAGAGATGCCACATTGAGACAGGTGTAGCAGGATCATGTAGGAGGGAGCAGGCCCTGCTCCACACAAATTACAGTCCCATTTCAGCTCTCCAGCAGATTTACAGGAGACTGGACATGGGTAGCTCGAGACCTGCTCCACACCAGAAGGAGGTTTAAAAGAACAAAGCCTCAAAAGCCGTTCATCTTCCCTTCTCAAACAGCTAAAGGATGCAAGTCCTACATAGAGACAGGGGTGCTGTCTGTGACAGAATTAAGAAAGAGAAAATTTAGGTTGGGTACCACAAAAACAACAGTTCCTGGCAGGAAATATTTACTTTGTGGGGTTGTTTCCCAGGAGTTTATATCCTGAAACAAGGATCCCTGTAGAGTGAGCGCCTTCCATTTACTGGAGGGCTTGTCAGAGGGAGCAGAGAGACCTCTTCCACTAGCACTTAACCCCTGAAAGAACAGAATTAACACGTAGGACTGCACTTTTCATCCACATTCATATTTAATTTTTCTAGATAAATRCCCTCAAAAGGCATTCATAGGGATTAAAAAAATCAAGAGGGTTTAGTGCATGTATGTAGCAGAGGGAAATAAGCAGATAAATGTGCACTGGCTGTACACCCTAACAATGTGATTATTTGCATCTTCATTCAAATTGTTTCTTGTTACATAATGATTTTGTACACAGTGGAGTACTTAACCTAATTTGTATTGATCTCAATTGCTTTCATTTGTGCATACTTAATTCAGAGAGGTAATCAAATTGATTTTTGAGGCCTAGTTTTTAAGAGATTGTAGTAGCACAGCTATACAGGAGGTCCCCTTAAGTGAATCATATCAAAAGAAAGCATTTTAAGCCTCTGGAAAGCATTTTGATGGTCTTTTCATTGTGTTCAGTATTAGTAGTATAATTAAATTTCTTTCACATTGAGTTCTTTCTGAAATCAAATTGAAAAACATTTTTTAGTTCCATCAGACAGATAACTTGGTTTGGTTGACTTTGTACTACACCCATACGGAACAACATATAAGAGATCAATATTCACGGCTTATCCTTACGAACAATGGAGACGAATGACTTCCTCTTGGATTAAAAGGATATTGGTCACTGCTTGATTTCTTCTTGGCATTTCCTTATTTGTTTCGTAGTTTCAAAGCTGTTGTAGTAAAAATATCACAAAAGGTGTGATTACCTGAGGTCACCAGCAGAAAGAGGGAAGAGAAGTTAACCTGAGAATCTGTGGGGACTCAAGCTGGGAGATGCTGGCATAAAGGTTATCTCTTTCTGGTGAAACCAGACCGTAACGTCTGGCCTTGTGAGGCCTGGGACTGGCTGAAATCRCCTTTCATCATTTGTTTCAAATTAGAGATTGCTGAGGAAGGAGATGGGGTGGTCACATGTGCACTGATGCTTTGCTTGTGTAGCAAGCGGGACTAGTGCTGCGCTTGGGTTCCCTAGGACATAGTGCCATTTGAGTTGCCTCCCTAAGATGGAACCAGCATCAGGCTGTCATTGCCATCTCCAAAAATGAGACAGGTTTGCAGCCTCAGGAGGTCGCTCTGTGCCTGTTTTCTACAATTCAGTGGTCTTGAAGCTCTGGTTGCCAATGTAAATCTTCAATGGAGTATTTTTTTTGCTGTCGCTAGCCATCTGCAACATCTTTAGAGCCAGGACTTTCCAAAGTACTGCCTGTTATAACACTTCTCTGCTGGCACTTAGCTGAACACTACTGGCAACTCCATCAGTCACAGGGATGAGCTCCATATCAGGCCATTTTTGCCAAGATGTGGCAAAATCAGTTCCTATTAAAAAAAAAAAAAAAAGCCATCTTTCTGTATATGCGATAGTCTTTTTGTAAATGTATGTAAGTAATTAGTAGAAACTAATGCAGCACAATGCATGAGATGATAGCTGCTTGGGAGTGGGTGAGTACTGGAATAGGCTGTCCAGAGAGATGGCGGTGTCTCCGTCCTTGGATATACTCAGGAGTCATCTGGAYATGGCCCTGGTTGATGTGCTCTGCTAGAGCAGGAGGATTGGACTGGATGCCCTGCAGACATCCCCTCCAGCCCCAACCGTTCTCAGTTCTGTGGGTTTTGCGTTCACCAGACCCGTGGAGGACTTGCTGCTCTCCCCAACGCGAGGGGATCCCCTCTGCAAATGGGGTTGGTGGTGGCAGTGGGCACAGCAGGGCCGGGCTGCTGTCCCACCCGGAGCACAGCTGATGTGTGGAGACCAGGGCTCTTGTGGGGCCAAGGCGGCAGGGAGGGCCCCACGGCCACAGAGCGCTCTCTTCTCGCAGCTCTACCCAGCAGAATTAATGGTGCACCAGGATCCGCTCCCACTTGCTAATAGTCATCATATGTTCATCTTCGACGACTAGAGTGAATTTTCACAATACTTTCATCTTTATAAACTGGAATTTTAAAGACAGTACTTACCAGCTGAAATGCTTCTAAGTATTTCTCAGGATTTATAGCTATTTGTAACGCATGGGCTGGCTGCATTTCTCTCTTTTGAGGGAGAAAATGGAAAATAAGTGTTATCTTTGCTGAAAATAACACTGCTGTTGCAGACAAATGGAATATTGGTAGAAACATTCAATTTAATGATATTCGGTGACAAAAAAGACTAAGCTGAAATTAGAAGCGCATACAGAAAACCAAAACCCAGACAGGTTTGCTGAATTGAAATTGAAAAAATGGTCAGCGTCGTGCAGATCTTTTCAAGCCAGTGGGGCTGTCCCCGCTGGGACTCACGCAGTGCCAGCCCGGCACTGGCCCTCTGGCTTGTGCTGGGTTTTGTGACGGCTTCCCGCGCCGTAGGCTGCGATTCCTCTTGTTGCTGTGAGTTGGGTGGAACCTATTGGATGCCGGCAGCGCAGAGCTGATGTTCCCTTGGGGGCAGAGCCCAGGTGCGCCCGAGGGCTCAGCGCAGGTGAGGGCAGGGAAGGCTCCGGGCGTCTCTCCTACCTTCCAGCAGTCCAAGGGAGGAACCACAACCGCACTGGACACCTGCCTCCTGGACAGCATCACATGCCTTGCTTTTCCATCGCTCATTACGGGCATTGCCGATCTCTGGAGCTTTTAGTATAGAGATCACTCATAAGCATAGTTGTATAAGGAAGTCACCAACCTCTCCCTGTGATAGCGCCGGCCTGTGTAGATGTCTCTACATCCCAAGGCTGGGAGCCTGACCAGCGTTGCTGCTGTGCCGAGGAAAGAGGAGCCCCCGTTGCCGTGCGTGGTGCAGATCTACGAAGACGATACAGAAGTTTTCATTATTGATCATAGCTTCACCGTAACCACAGTCTCAAGTTCCGTTATTGGGATTTTATTGCAAAGGGAACATCAACAAACTTGTGGCTTCTCTGGATCATAAATAGAACATTAATAAAATCCTGCATTGTGTATCCAGTTCAGGCTGCAACTCCTGGGTGCATCCTGAGACCCAGGTTTGGATTTTACTTCCTCATGTGATGAGCAGAGCATTTCACTTGGCAGGCCTGCTTCATGAATGCTCCATGCTCACCAAAGGGTGGGCTTGGGAGGAAGGTGTTGAACAGAACCGCTGCTGCAGCTACTGGCAAAGACTGCCTGCTTCTGCTCTAGCAAAACATCCCAGCATACGTTTAACCTCAGCCTTGCAAACACACTGGCTGCGGCCAAGGGAGCACCTTGCATATTTAAAGCTGAACTCGTGCATAAGGATCAGGATATACCCAACTAGTAACTCCACTGTCTTTTCTTGCAGTTACTCCTGGTTTTCACTTTGCTTGTGCAATCTGTACCAGCGAAATCTCAGTGCTAGTGCTATGGTTTCCATATAGCCACACCGACAAGAAAGCTGGGGTAAGAAATCACCAGAGTTTATTCTAAAATTCAATCTCTGTACTTCAGATCACCAAATCTGAATATTTACCTTCAAGGAGAGGAGTCTTTTCTGAAGAAAAAGAACTTCAGAGATCTGGGGGCTCATTGCATTTGTTGCCTCCTCCCCTGCATCTTCATGCTTATTCCGATTTTCTCAGTAATCTGTAAACACAACCATCTCATCATTTTAAAGCAACTATTTTTTTCTTAAAAAAAAAAAAAAAAATTCCTTAATTCTAGCTGCAGGACAAAATTTTTCTTATTTAAGACTGACTGTCCCTTTTTTAGAGACATAACACCCAGGGCCTGATTCAGCAGAGTGATGGCATGTTTTTAAACCACTATTCATGTGTTTTAATTTAGTGGCTTTCCATATATGTAAAAATAAGGTAAGCAGAAATGAATTTGTTTCTGAACTTAATCTATACTATTTCTATAGAAATCATCCTTAGTCTGAGCTAGCAGAAAAGGGATGAATTCTTTATTTTTTTTCTCTCACTGTTACAGCTTTCAATTATTATTAATTATTAATTATCTATTTTCTTCCATATAATATACTTAGGATTAATTGCAGTTAAAATAATCAAGTTCTTCTTAAAACCAAGATGGCTGTTTCCCTTTCTTGTACCATTAAAATGCCTCTCAATCCATAGACAGGTTTCCTGGATAAGAAACGTGTTTTATTAGAGTGCTCACTCCATTTTTCTTTTCTGATAAATGCATGTCAAGGAAAAACATTTGCCTTTATGGTTCCTTTTCAAGAGCAAACTTAACAGTTCAAGGAAAGTATTTACTGAATGCATTGAAAAGCACATACCTTTGCATTATTTATTATAAGATACCAATAGCTGCAATACGCAGAGTATCTCTGGACATAAATTAGTGATGTTAGGAAATACTAGAATCTTCCTGGTATCCCGGAAACTATTAGAAACTGCAGCAAAAATGCAGGAGCTTTTCCCATCCCCAGCCTTCAGCATACCATGGCCCTGGATTTGAGACAAAAAGACAAGGAAAGAGGGAAAATTATCCTTACGCCATCAGGAGGAGCACAAGGATGGGGAAGAGACTTGCTGTTTAGCTGGATGTTCTCATGATGGGAGTGGGGAAGGGAAACACGAAGCAAGCGAGGTGCCTTCCTCTGAAAGGGGACCACATAAAAGGTTCAGTCTCCCGCGCTGCTGAGAGCTGCTGGATCCCTGGCCAAACCTGCCCTAGGAACACCGCGTTCCCCAGGTGTCTCTTCCTCACTTGAAGTTCACTTAAACAGCCTCAGTTTTAAGGAGTAGCTTTAAGGATTTCTGTTTTGATCCCTGACTTCAAATTCAGGTATGTCAGAAGGGTCCAGTCCTGCTTATCTACACAGAGCTGCATCATTTCACCTTAATTTTGAAGCCAGTCTCTCTCAGCTGCCTCTTGTCCTTTCTTCTTCTCTGACAGCTGTTGGGAAAGAAGTAGTAAAAGTGGTAATAAAAATGCTGCAATTACTTGTTCTTGATTCACCAGGTACTTCTCTGATCCACACTGCTTCAAACCATGAATAGCTCCAATGGTAATTTCAGTGTGAGACAAAGCTAGGGATCAAACTTGGTTCTCACAGGAAAAGTAACATTTAAAAATGCAATATAATTCCAGAAAAGGTTTRGGCTAGGTTGTGCGTGAAAGGGGCTACCCAAAGCAAAGCCATAGGTTGGTACTTCATGTGGTTGTTCAGGTGGGATGTTGCACAATATCCAAAAAGTTCAGAGCGATCTGGCTGTGGAGGAGAGGACGTGGTGAGAAGCAGGGARCCAGGATGAGCAGGGCTCTGCTCCCAGCCTTGCCAAGGCAAAGRCACCAGAATAACCTGCTGCAGCAACTAACAACTTCACGCGAAGGCTTTCCTAGCATCTAATTACAAATCTGTGTGCTGCGAATTGAACTAATTATTTGTTGCTTTGCTTGTGGCAGGTGTAGGGAGAGGGAAGCACCAGCCTCCTCCGAGCAGCCTCGCGTGCAGTCCTGCGTGCCGCCCTCGCCCTCGCGAGCCCGTCCAGCCAGGCTGTGATCCCCGGCCTCGTACCTCGCTCGCCGGCCTCCCGGAGGCCACTGCAGGAGGACTCCCCTTGACCAGGTCTAGCTCAGGGCGGGGCTTTGCATCTAGCCTAATTGTGTGGGCTGTTTTTATGGTCAACAGACTGAAATCAATACAGCTGCGTGCAATTTAGCTCATTCCCGGCCCTGCTGGAGTCACGTCCCGAGCGGCGGTTTCTGTTCACCGGCCAGCCCGGCAGGCAGCCCAGGTGCAGATGTCACTATCCTAAGTGTCTAAATTTGGGCAAGAGCAATTATCCATTGCATATCCCAAGCTGGATGCGTTCAGACTTTGCAAGGCCAGCTGCAGGAAAAATTACTTGACTTCCTCTGTTGTCTGTGAAGTTCTTGTTTGAGGGCGTCCCACAGTGACACTGACTCCTATCTCTCTCACTTCCCTGGGAAGCTCAGGTAGTCTGTGATAAACCATCGTCCCAGATAGGCCTGTGCTTGATTCCTCTCCGACCTGACTCTGTGTGCCCCATTGCCCTGTCCTGGRGAGTTTTGCACCCTCTGTGATAGCTACTGTCTTGCTCACTTTGGAGCATTTCTCCAGCCTATCCAGAAAACAGTGACTATTTTATGTATATATTCACACAGTTCTTTAATCCATATACCTGTGCCCCCACACTAAGCCCCTGTGCCCCACAGGGCCCTGGTGGCCACGGGGCCGGGGACACTGGCCCGGGCGCAGGCGCAGCCCCGCTCCGGCCGCGCTGGCAGGAGGGACGCGGTGCTGTCCCACCCATGGGCCGCCTCCTTCCCCTTTCGGCCCAGCGGGTGTTTCCGAGCGGGACAATTCTTCCCCAGCACAGCTCCCTGCAGCACGGCCGAGACCCGGGGAAGGAGGACCCRCGTTCAGCTGATCCAGCTCCCTGCACGAGACCCGGGAGCTCTTCTCACGTGCACAAACGTGAGCTGATCCATATCCAGCTGGGTCGTGTCCATGGAGGTGTCGTTCTCAAACATACACAGATGGATATTTTAGCTGCCGACATTTCTAGAGTCTGAATTCTACATTTTGGCTCGGTTCTAGTGTGGGATTTTCGAGCTGCAGAGATTTTTAATATGCCTGCCTAGAAATCTGGCCACTTACCAATTCCCTCTACTCATTTTGTCCCAGCACATTACCTAATCATGTCAACATATGGATTTTTTTATCTTGCTGCCTCGTGTAGACAGCCTTATCAGTCTATTTTTAAACCTGGATATGCTTTGGTGGTGGTATTGGTTTCAGCACTTGATGTTCTCTTTGAGCTAATAAATACAGATCAGCTCTTCCTGCTGATTTCTTTTATGAGCCATTAGYGTGGTCGGACATCGGCGGGGCAGCCGCCGCTGCTGGGCTGACGAGGAGCCTTCGCGCCGCGAGCCGCCCCGTCCCGCCTGCCCGCCCGGGGCAGCTGCCCCCCAGTTTGCAATGGGGGGCATTTCCAGACCGATTCCTGCTCCTGGCAGGGGCGTGGGAAGCCCTGCTTTGTGACACTTGCCTGGCAGCATCTGCATCCCAAGTTCTGCTTGCCCAGCCGCGTGGTGCTTGCTGGCAGCAGGGCTGCGTTCCCGGAGCTCGAATGTGTCCCTGGGGACGACTTGGGAAGGCCCCGAGGTGCAAACGGGAGGCGTGAAGGGATGGTCCTCTCTGCCCCCACACCCATGCAGGGTTGGAGGTGGCTGCGACCCTCGTTTGTCAGGTTTCTAACCCTGAACATGCCCAGCGCTGGCGCCCCGAGCCTCGTGACAAGGGGAAGCCGGGCACGGTGTCCCCAGCAGTGCTCACGGTGCTGCTGGGGCACCTGGGGGCTGCCGTGCGGGGACGGGGGCAGCACCCCCGCGCAAGTCTAGCAAAGCGGTGCTTTGCTATGCACACCTCCGACTCCTCCTGCTTTGGGGCTTTTCTTCTGTGGCGCAGGGGGTCAGTTGCAGCAGGTCAGAATGAGGCTCTATGACCAAAAGCTATAGGAAAAAGCCCTTCCCAAGGCTTCGGAATAGGTAAGAAGTGAAGGAGGAAAGGCAAAGCCCTGCGTGGCGGGGCTGCCTGCCCCACTGTAGCTGCGTCACCATCCCCAGGCATCCCGTCCGAGGCCTGGCAGCTCCATACGAGTCCTGTGCAGAGGCTGAATTAATCCAGGGCTGGAGAGCGCTGCAGCACTCCCCAGTTAGCAAATAAAGTTGGGATCCACATGTCCTGGGACAGAGGGAGAAGATGAATGTGCGACTCAGGGGAGCCTGTCTGAGCAACAGCAAAACAGAGCTGTGTTTTGGGCCAGGAGCTGTTTTGGGCACCCCTTCCCGGGGAATTCCTTGCAGGGAATTGTGCCCATGCGCTGGCGGAGGAGAAGGGAGCCCCGGCTCTGTCCTTTGCAAATGGCAGTGCAGACAGCGCGGTGCAGAGCCCAGGGAGGGGATGCTTTTGGGTTGCGAATTCGCAAGCTGGAGGAGGTTGCACTTCTGCTGCTCGTCCCTTCCACAAACTTGTGGCACGGAGCTGCATGTCCTGCCCACGGAGACTCTTCAGGCACGTGTTTGAGAGGGCAGCTCAGAGAAAGGCTGATCTCTTCCCCCCAAAAATGCATGTAATACTTGTTCTAAATGCATGCACCATCAATTTCCACCCGCATTTCCTCCACACGTGGCTCTGCTGCATGAATCACCTAGGCGGTGCCGCTTGCATTATGGATTAGGGGCTGTGCAGTTGCATTAACAAATGATAATCCAGAGTTGTTATTTGTCACGATATGAAACAAATCTGCAAAGAACTGATGTTTGTTAGCTATTATGGAAAGAAAGGCATGCTTTTTGCATTTTCCGTCCTAGACCGAATACAGAGAAGCTGAGTGTTTAATCCTAGTGTTAGTGAGACCGAAGAATGACGTGTTTCCCAGGGGGGCTTTATTGAAGCCGTGGAAAATCTCCAACTACTGCCTTGCTCAGAGGTGCAAGAGAAGAAAGGGGCTGCGTCCTGGGTGGCATTGCAAGGAGAGCGAGTGTGCATAGGACAGGTGCTCCACCGGCCTCTGCACCACCTGCCCAAATGCAGAGTAATTAACTGCCCATCCAAAAGTATGAGTCATTTCCAAAAATGTGCATGTTGTAGGGGGAAACACGGGGCACCACGTATGCAGTTCTCTTTAGAGGGCTTCAGTGGGCCCGGCCTGCCCCGTGCTCTCCATGCGTGTGCTCGTGTTGCTGGTGGCCACACGTGCTGACCCGCTCTTTCTCTGTCCCTCCCCAAGCATGCAAGCGCAAGGAGCAGGAGCCGAGCAAGGAGAGGAGCAGCTCCCAGAAGAAATCCCGCCTGGTCTTCACCGACCTCCAGCGCAGAACACTCTTTGCCATCTTCAAGGAGAACAAGCGTCCGTCCAAAGAAATGCAGATCACCATCTCCCAGCAGCTGGGCCTGGAGCTCACCACCGTCAGCAACTTCTTCATGAACGCGCGGCGCCGCAGCCTGGAGAAGTGGCAGGACGACCTGAGCACGGGCGGCTCCTCGGCGGCCTCCAGCACCTGCACCAAAGCGTGAGCACCGGGGYGCGCGGCGGGGCCCTTCACTGGCGGCTCGAAAGCACAATCCTCCTGCAAACCACGGCTCGCCTCGCCGCAAGCAGAGGACTCTTCCTATGGCTTTTAGTCCGTTCGAGAAGGCGCAAGTCAAAAATTAACCTCTTTCTATATAAAATTATGCTCAGGACAGGCTAGGCAGGCCTGGGAAGCAAGCGGGTGTTCGTGGCACGGGTTCCTGCTCAGCCTCGGCTCACCGCGATGTACCAAAGCTCACCGCCATACAGCACAAACCTCCCACACACGCCAGGAACCCGAGAACCAGTCCTTAAAACTCAGGCATGGTTTTGTTAAGTGTTTTAGGAAGAAAAGCGATCAAATTTAATTTTTTTAATTTTTTTTTTTATTAAATCGGTGAACATAGCTTCATCTGGGATCAGAAAAATCCAGTTCACTTGAGCTCAAAGTATCAAGCACAAGGCCAATAGCTGTAGAAATAGGTACAGTCTGGACTCACCACGGCGGCTCCCGCCAGACGCCCTCAGATTTGCAAAGCTCTTAGTGAACAAGTACAAGGTCTCAAGCACAGTTTGCAGCTTGCCACAAATTCTGTGTTTGTGCATAATGCAGATGCATACTCAGGAGGTCAGTTTAACTGCTACAGTACATGGAAGCAAACACAAGATTYTGGAAAGATCTAGATTTTTTTAGGTCATTATTAAGTCCTTTTCAGTTCCCAGGAATCTCGTTTCCCCTTTGCCATGTCACGGTTACTGAGACATGCTTAGCATCGGATGTATTTTTCTTTATTTTATCAAAATCTGCATTGGAGTTTTATGGTACTTTCAAGCAGGAAAAAAAAAAACAAAACAAAAAGGAAACCAGAAGGCGACCACAGAAACAAGCCCTGCAGATGTCCCTGGCCACGTTCGACGTGCTGCGTACGACCGCTGGCCGCCACCAACGCCGCGGCACCTGCACCATCGCTCAGCTCTCCCGACGCCGGTCCCCGCCACCTGCCAAGACCACAGCACGCCGAAGCGACCGGGCTCCGCCAGCCAAAGATCCCGCAGCTGCCACCTCCCTCYGTCGCCGTTTTGGAGCCCGGAGAGCCTCACGAAGGCCACGCCGCCCGCGGGAGCCCCGGCCGCGGGCGCTGCCGTGCGCGCGCACCAGCGAGCGGCCCCTGCCCAGCGCCCGCCGCGCCGGGGGGAAAGCCAAACGCTGTCACGATTCCCTAAAGACACTTGAGACTTTTTTTATGTACTACTTAATCGAAACCAAAGAAACTTTTTTCTGCACCTACTTCTTCTGCAACGAACTGTTCCATTCGAAAGAATAAAATAAGAAAGTAAGAAGCAAGGAAGCGCGTCAGGAAGCAAATGAAATGAACACCACACTGTGTTTTGACAGACATCGCGGACGTCTTCGGAAGCAGATTTCAAGGAAAGGGTTGACAAGAAGGAAACCAGAGCAAAGCCAGTAGGATTGCTGCTTCATTTGACAGCTCAGTAGTCTTAAAGTTGAAGATTGTCTTTAATTTGTGCCTATGCAGTTTTTTCAAAGAACAAGGAACAGAGCAACCAAAACCTCAACAGCTACAATACCAAAGATGAGGATTCTYGCAGCTTTTCTTGCAGTTCGCTTTTCTCCTCTCGCACGACTGAAGCGCGCAGAGCATCGCCGACGATCTCTTTATCTCTTCCCATTTATCTCTTCCCATCTCCACCCGCCATGGGCTCTTGAGAGCTCCCCGGGCTCCAAGTGTAAGATGTTGGGATACTCAACTACTCTGTCTTCTGTGTCCACAAATATGTGTGCAAATGTGTCAGCTGGATGTCACTTGTTCTGTCCGCCAGAGCTGGTCTTGTGTGTGTAGAGCTTTAACACCCTTGCTCCCGTATGGGAGAGAGGGTTTTCAAGCCTGTGTCCGCTCGCTCTCCCCCGGGGATCCAGCTCGCAGTGTGTGTGCTGGGTGTTCATTGCGGGCGCCAGTGCCATTAGGGTCTGGCGCACCAAGAGCARGGCCTGATCTGAACTGAAAATGAGCTTTCAGCAATCCACGCGGCAATTCAATAATGCATTGTGACAGATTATGTTGGTTGGTCAAAGTCATGGTGAGCCAAATCATAACATTCAGACCTAGACCCAAATTTGACCTTCAGGACCGGAGTAGAGTTGCACTCGGTGCATCAGTTTGCTCCAGCTCTGCAGTTAAACGAAGGCTTATTTTCAGCTAAATCTGCAAAATTATTGCAGCCACTTTCCAGTTTCTACATTAAAAAAAAAAAAGGCCTTTTTTGCTCAGAACCTTTAAGTTTTCTGAAAAATTCAACATCATCACAACTAAACTAACAGCACATACCAGCTCTGGGAATCAAAACATCCTTAAAGAGAGCTTCCCCAGAGAGATCATACATGATTCAAAAATGAACCAAAGAAACCTCATGATCAAACATGCGGTAAAACTACACAAAAAGGGTTCCTCTCTGGGCCAATGTATCTGATGTTTCCATGTGTTTGCACCAGAACAAGGGCCCAGCTGGAGTATTCTGTTCATATTTCAGTTTTACATTTGTTCACATTGAAGAGAGTCCTTGCAAACCAAGCTCTACATCTGCATTTTGAGTGTGGTATTGACCACATGAGTAATTTCTCATCTTGAAAGTGTTTTACTGCATTTTCTAGCAGTATTATGCAATGCCATTTTTCACATTATTTGTCTCATATTCCATCTCATAAGGCCTTTGCAGTCATGCAAAGGAGAGAAACCCAGCCCTAGTCGAAACACCAAATATAATTTCTTAGTTGTCGCTACCTTACTGCAATGGCAAGGGAGAGAGGCGAGGCTTGGAGAAGAGGGGAATCTCAGGCATTAGCTAAGGAGTGTGTTTGAAAGCAGGTGCCCACACCAAAGTCTGTTTTCCATGTGGGACACTCTAAAGTTAAGCACATCCGCAGATGGACTGATCCTGCCCCTTGCATGGCGCATTCCCAGAGGCAAAGAGAAATGTGCCGTGTTTGGGGTTTTTTGTTTTGGTTTTGTTTGTTTTTTGTTTTGTTTTGTTTTCCTCAGTATACCACTGGACAGCTGGGGAATGTTTAGAGCTTTATAAGCAAAGATGAGTGAAGGGTGACCAAGGTCTCCTGGAGACAGGTCCTTTCCACATGCCAGTCCATAAACCCAGTGGCCACCGGTGCCTTCCCTGGCTCATGGCAGCAGAGGTGCCGCCCCGCATGCATCGCTGCTGGGCAGCACGTGGTGCCAACACCACCACATGGAGCAAAAGGCCCGGGGCCAAGGCCGAGACAGTCCTTAGGGTTTGTTCTCCTCATCCCGWTGATAACAAATGCAGCAAGTGCCCGATTCTCTTTGGAAAGCAGACATTAGAAATCTCTGCGCAGGTCCCACGGTCTGTGAGGGACCTCTGGCTGCCGAGTGGGCCGTGAGAACCAGCATCCAGGGTGAGCAGAAAGCATCTTTTAGTGTTTTGGTTTGAGTTCACACCAATGCTTGTAGCTAGCAATGTCCAGGGCAAATATAAAATAGTAAAAAAACAGTATCTATGATCAGATTTTCAGTTTTCTCCAAATTTTGAAAGCTCCTGTTACCCAGTACAATGGCTTAAATTCTTGCCTTGCTCTTTCAGACGTTGGTCCGCAGTCTCACAGTGGAAACTGGTTAATGAGGCTGACCAGTTAGTACCGAGGTGAATGTTACTGCCCGTGGCGCAGTACCTGCTTGGCAAGACGTGCAAGGTTCCTCGGTGCCGAGGATTGCAAACGCAACAGCCCGTGTTTCCACCTCCCCAAATCACTGTAATTTTGGCATCTAGAAATATTGCTGCATTTTTTATCCCTGCATCTTTCATGGCCTTATGTTGCATCTTCCATCTCACTGTCAGCTGTTGCAGCTTCTATGCAGCAGCAGTCTCAGAAGAGGAACATCAATAGCTTGTACTGGGTATTCGCACGTACTCCTATGAGCAGAATATATACGATAATCTGTTCATACTTAAAAGAAACCTCAAACGGATACATTATGTTTATATGCCATATATTCGTGACTCTCTATAGCTGTGTCATGTAACTTGTTCTTTTTAATTTATTTATCTCAATATGAAAGACTAATATGTACAGATAGTATCCCAGCATCTTCTCTACCGCCTGCTTGGAGTTAGGACCATGGGCACATCCGAGATGAATTCAACTTTCAAGAAACCTTGGATCGTGTTTAATCATCTGCGAAGGCACAAGGAATGTGCTTGCCTACTTCGGTTGAATAGCTTTATTCTSCATCTCTCTTAACAAAAGCTGAATCCAAAGACCTGCGAAGGACTAAACCAGCAAACCACACTCGGACCTGCTCAAGGGGATAGGGGTCTCCTCTTCCAAATCGAGACACGGTAACGACACAGGATTGGAAAGGGTGTGCTAGCTTTGGAAAAAAAAACCAAAAAAAAAACMAAMAAAAAAAATGCTTTTCTTGCTTGTCACAATACCTACGTATTTTTAAGACATGGGGAAACTTTATACTTGGCCTCCTTTATATTTATTAAGGAGAATTTCTATTGTTTAATTTTTTTAAAAAATGCAAAGCTTAAAATGGTTTTATTTTTTCCAGACACTTGTGGGTTTTAGCCCGATGTATTATCTATCAATAATGTAATTTATTTAATTTAGTCTTAGAGCTGGTCCCAAAATCTTTGTTCAGTCTAAATCCTAAGTAGTTTCATTTTATCTCTGAATTTCAGAGGGAGTTTTGCCTGACCACTGGTTATAGGATCAAGCTCAACTGTTAGTTTTTGTAACTATTTAATTCAATCATTTAATTTTGGATTAATTTTGTTTATTTATACATTTTAGTGTTGTAGTGCATCAGAGATGCCAAGCCTATGTTAGCAAATACRCTTAAAAGTTAGTTTTGCTTCATAAAGCAGCCAGGTTCTGTTACAGACAGGGAAAAATAACAAGTTACATAAATCATGAACCTAATTTTAATTTCTTCTTTTAATTGATTTT